TGTGAGAATGATGTAGGTCACAGGGGAGAAAATCTGCGTAAAAAATGGAGGATGAAGGATGGCGTTGGGAGAGACGAAGGGGAATGAAGAATATGAGTGAAGTGACAAGTTTGCCCCTGCCTAACTCACGTGAATTGCACATGTCTAGTATTCTGGCGGAAATCACCGGAAAATGCCATTTTTAGGGCAACGTGCAACAAAAACACAAGTTTAGGTAAAAACGTGCAAAAAAAAATTGTTTGGGGGGCAAAGCGCAAAACGGGCATTAGTTTAGGGGGCAAACTGCTTTTTACTCTAAAGATTAATTCATCTCAATTTTATTGAAAGCAATCTCACAGTAGCAACTAGCAAGCACCGGCGGCGAAAAATGAGCAGTCGTTACCCGGCGCCGATAACCCTGACCCGAACCCGCATAGGATGGATAGGCATCGGCGTTATGGGCGGTGCGATGGCCTCCCGCCTCATCGCCGCCGGATACTCACTCTCCGTCTACGCCCGCACCCCCTCCAAAGCCACCTCCCTCCTTTCCCTCGGCGCCACCCTTGCCCACTCCGCTGCCGACCTCGCCGCCTCCTGCGACATTATTTTCACCATGATCGGCCACCCCTCCGACGTCCAAACCCTAATTCTAGACACACTTATTCCGGCCATCACTCCCGGCACCGTCATCGTCGACCACACCAGCAGCCACCCCGCACTCGCCAGGCGAATCCACCTCTCCGCCCTCGAGAGCCGCTGTCACTCCGTCGACGCCCCCGTCTCCGGCGGCGACGTAGGCGCTCGATCCGGCAAATTGGCAATTTTCGCCGGCGGCGATGCTGACGTGGTGCAGTGGCTGAAACCCTTGTTCGATGTATTAGGGCAAGCGACCTATATGGGGAGTGCCGGGAAGGGGCAAAGCTGTAAAATCGCGAATCAGATCACCGTGGGTGGGAATCTAGTGGGATTGAGTGAAGGATTGGTGTTTGCCGAAAAGGCCGGATTGGACAAGGTTAAGTTCCTGGCGGCGGTGAGTGGCGGCGCCGCAGGGTCCGCTGCCATGGAATTGTTCGGGAAGAGGATGATTGATAGGGATTTCAGGCCCGGTGGTTTCGCGGAGTATATGGTGAAGGATTTGGGGATGGGGGTAGATGTGGTTTTGGAGGAGGAGGAGGCGGCGGCGGTGGTGGTCCTGCCCGGAGCGGCATTGTCAAAGCAGTTATTTTCCGGCATGGTGGCGAACGGAGACGGGAAGTACGGGACGCAGGGCGTTATTACCGTTATAGAGAGAATCAACGGAGTTAATCACGATTAAGGTTAGATGGAATTAAGCTCGGTAACGAAATTTTGGCGTTGCATTTTCAGTTGAATGAATCTATTGAATTGTGTTTATATATTGCTAGAATGAATTGTTCATTGAAAATATAACTAGAAACTTTTGTTACTGCTGAAGATTTTTTTTTTTTTTTCAGATTCTTGTTGCATTGCGTTTGTTATTGGCAACTAATATGCTAGGCAATTAAGAAAATAATAGATGATATTTAGTTCAGAATCAAGCATTGATATTATACTATATTCATTTTTACATTTTGAAATTTATTATTGGGACAATTTGCTATACAACCATGTACTAGAATTTTCTTTCAAATAAGGGCAAGTCACATTCCGCATTAAGTTAACAGCCCCCGCCACCAACCATTTCAGTATTAATGATCGGACCAAAATTTCCCTTTCGTAATTACTTGTTGAGTGACAATTATGTAATTACTTGATGAGTGACAATTCTATGATTATTATTGAATGGTAGTTATATAATTACTTGGTGAATGACAGTTATGTAATTACTGTTAGACGACAGTTCTGTAATTATTTGTCGAGTGACAGTTCTGTAACTACTGTTGAGTGGCAATTCTGTAATTATTTGTTGAATGGTGGTTCTGTAATTACTGTTCAGTGGCACTTCTGTAATTACTGGTAAATGGTTGTTATGTAATTATTATTGAGTGACCGTTCTGTTATTATTTGGTGATTGACAATTCTGTAACAACTCGTTGTGTGGCAATGCTGTAATTATTGTTGAGTGATAGTTCTCTAATTATTTGGTAAATGACAATGACAATTCTGTAATTACCTTGTAATTACCTGATGGGCGACAGCTCTGTAATTACATGCTGAATGGCAGTTCTATAATTATTTGTGAGTGAGTGAGTGAGTGACAATTCTGTAACTTAAAAAGAAAAATATAATTTTTGGGATTGGTAGAGATGGAAACGAAACCTTGTCATTTCAGGAATTAATGGCACAAAGAAAAATGGGAAAGAAACTGGAAGCCCAAATACGCCGAATATGTATATACCCGACAAAATCAGCATCGGGAAATTTGAAGTCCGTGACAGAGGCGAGCCGTACGCGTAGGTGGTAGAAGCGGCGGCGTCGATCTTTGCTGTGGCGTGGCTCTATTGATCGCCTGTCTTGGACAACAAGCGGCGCGACGGTGGCGTACAAGCTTCAAGGGAGACGGTGGCGGTTTCTGTCGATAGAGAGGTGAGATGAGGTGTTTGTCCGGAAAATGAAAAACAGTAAAAGAGGAAAAGAAATTCGCCCGCATTACTTTTTGCTGGAAAATGAATGAAACGGTGTCGTTTTGCAGGCATTTTGGAAGGGGAAAAAAAAGGAAAAATAAATCGGAGAGTCGCTTTTCAGGAGCACGACTCGTATATAGTATTAATTCATATGAGCTAATTGCATGGAACCCCTGTGTAATTTCAAATTGCTATTAAAAAAATTAGCACATACCCCATGTAACAACAAATTCTTATCTGCAATTTAGACAAACAAGAAAAACTTGCACAAAAATAATTTATTGAATTAAAATAAAATATTGCGGGTTACAAACTCTAATTTAATCCTCTGATTCTTCTCTCTAGAACGATGTATGTTTTGACTTTGAATTTTGGAGTCGGGTCGTTGACTTGATCTTCTCCGGATTTGATTTGGATTTGAATAACGTCTTCGAGGGTCTTGCGACTTGAATCTCGGATCGAACGCTGAACTTTGACGAGTTTTGACTTGAAGATCTTGGGGTTCTTGATGGATTTGGCCCTTCAATCTACCTTCGATCTTGATTTGTCGAAGAACGCCCTCAAGCCCTCAATTTGATTGACTTGAAGATCTTGGAGTTCTTGATGGATTTGGCCCTTCAATCTTCCTTCGATCTTGATTTGTTGAAGAACACCCTCGATTTGATGTTTGATGAAGAACGCCTCAATCTTCCTTCGATCTTGATTTGTTGAAGAACACCCTCGATTTGATGTTTGATGAAGAACGCCTTGAATTTGTTGAAGAACGACTTGAATATTGTAGAGAGAATTTTCTCCTACGGTTTTTCTTCTTCTTGAGTTGTGTTTTGAATTGTGTAGAGAGGGTCCCTATTTATAGTGGTAGAATAAGAGTCCTACTTAAAGTCTACTTGATGACGTGGCGCGATTTGATTGGCTCTCTTTAAATTGATATTTATTTCTTATAACTTGGAAGAGAAGAAATAATCCTATTGGCCAATAATTAATTGATAATTATCTCCATAACTTATTTTGTAAGATAAATTATAATTTAATTTAGACACAATTTAATTGGCTAATTTAATTAACCAATTAATTAATTTTATGCGTCTACAAATGCCCCCTCGAGACTTGTTCACGGACAATGCATCTTGGAGTGGATGAGTCTCGATAATTGCTCAACTTTGATTGCAGCTTGATCTATCAAAGAACATATGTCTTTTGAAATCATGACTGAACTTAGAGAGATTCTAAGTTGCCTACGTACCCTATAAAGGGATCAAGTCATAACGTAGTTCAAAATATATCCTTTTGAGGGATGTCGTGCACAGTTTATACTCATGTGGACAAGGAGAAACATTTGCAGTTTAAGCTCGTACTGAAGGAGCATTTGACTTGAATTCGTAGATAGTTTATGCTCGTATCAAGGATGCTTGACTTGATTTGGACATATAGATAGTTTATGCTCGTATCGAGGAGCCTTGACTTGATTTGGATATGTAGATAGTTTATGCTCGTATCCAGGAGCCTTGACTTGATTTGGATATATAGATAGTTTATGCTCGTGTCAAGGAGCATTGACTTGATTTGGATATATAAGTAGTTTATGCTCGTATCGAGGATGACTTGATTTGAATATATAGATAGTTTATGCTCGTATCGAGGAGCCTTGACTTGACTTGGATACATAGATAGTTTATGCTCGTATCAAGGAGCTTTGATTTTATTTGAACTTGTAGACATTTTAAACTCGTGTCAAGGAGTGCTTCATTTGATTTGACTTGTCATATTGCATAGGGTGTTGCTTCTTCAAAAGACTTGCCCCCATCCTCATGATTTTCTTGTTCTTCTTCAAGATGCACTTCTTTGAGCTGGTACGGCTTTTGGAATGGTGATTCTTCAATTTGATTTGCAAGTATGCTCAACTCCATATCATGTGCTCGAGTGGCCAACTCTTCAAAACTTTTAGGTTGAATTACTTGAAGGATATATCGGAGTCCCCATTGCATTCCTTGGATGCACAGTTCAATAGCTGATGTCTCAGACAGTCGATCCTTGCAATTGAGACTCAAATTTCTCCAACGTTTGATGTGGTCGATGACAGGTTCCTTCTTCCATTGGCGGGAATTGGTGAGCTCAATCATGCTGAATGTTCTTCGAGTGCTGTAAAAGCGGTTGATAAATTCTTCCTCTAAGTGCTTCCAACTATCGATGGAGTTTGCCCCCAAATCAATGTACCAATCAAACGCGTTGTCTTTGAGAGATCGGACGAATTGCTTGACGAGGTGATCTCCGTACGTCCCGGCATCATTGCAAGTCTCGACGAAGTGTGCCACATGTTGCTTGGGGTTGCCTTTCCCGTCAAATTGTTGAAACTTTGGAGGTATATAGCCCATTTGCATCCTTAGATTATCAATCCTTTGAGTGTATGGCTTGACATAGGTTGATGGAGACTTCGAGCTTTCTTCCAACTTGTCTTTGATGGTTCCACTGATCAGCGTCATCACTTGATCTACATGAATCATCCCTTCTGGAGAAACTTGAAGTTCTTGAGCTGGAGCCTTCTCGTTTTCAACTGGTTGTTGCTTTGTGGATGTATCGACTTCTTCTTGAACCTCTATCTGATTCTCCACACCTTGACTAGCATCGGCTTTGTCCATCTTGTTGATCAACTCGGCAATTTGAGAATCTCGTTGTTGAACATGCTATGCGAGTCCCTCATTTTTGGAACATCGGTTCTAAAATAAATTTGAACTAAATGATCAATAGATATTTTTGAAATTTTCTAAACATTGGGGTCCCTAGATATTAATTTATAACATCTTAATTACTTATTTTTATTCTAAAATAAGAATCAATATTTATTAGTATATTCAAGTTTATAAATATTTTTGAAGTCTATTGCTATAAAAATTATACGTCACGGGAGGAAGTGAACCAGCAAATCATATTGTTAATTTTGAATTTTTGTCCATATTTTTAGTTACTTTATATTCATACATTTCAAAAAATATTTCGGGGGCACTGCCCCCGAACCCCCATAATCTTTATTTTCTTCATTTTTAGAAAAAAAATATAAAATATTTTTTTTACTACATACAATTTCGAACACCCATTAATAAAAAAAAATGGTTCATAAAATTGGGGGCCCTGTTTTCAGTTTTCAGTGCTTTAAACCTCGCCTAGGGCCCCCGAATTCCCAGGAACGGGCCTGCGTCAAACCTACCTTGGACCAGCCCGCACCCTTAGATCTCGCCGGAAGAACTTTCCCGCATTCGCCGTTCTCGCCAGAAAACCATGGTTGAAGGACGCAAGGGCTGAAAATCCTCCATTATCGACGAATGCCGGAGAGCTGGGGTTCTTCAAGAACTTTGCGGCGGCAAAGAGAAATTTGCGATGGAGGAGGAGATAGTCATGAAGGCGAAGAGGGAATAACCTCTGCTATGGACGGTGTCACCGGCAAGAAGAGTGGAGGAGGCGGTTGGTGGAAGGAAAGGGGAGGCGGTGGAAGAAGAAATTTGGGAAAGAAGACGACGTATTTATTACTTCAGATTTTTTCTTTTACTTGTTTGTTTTAAGAAATTTTGAAAATTGCAATTTAATCCAAAAGAATTAATTGTTTATATTAAGCATCAATTAGATTTATCTTTATTTATAAAAGAACTTCAGAAGGTATTTTTGACTTTTCATGTCAGAAAATACATTCTCAGTCGTACAATCCGCATGTGATCACACGACATGTTTTCAGGGGCTTTTTGCTTTGACTAATTTTCTAGGGGGTTTATGCCAATTTTTTTAACATAAGGGTCTTTTTAGCCATTCTAAATTACACATGGGTGGTTTTTGCAAAATACTAAAATGCTATTTATAGAACATTTTTTACCGGCTTGCAGTGCGACTTTATTTCATTTGTAACTTTTCTTCAAAAAATTCAAAATCCTCTCAAACCCTATCCAAGGCCCTTCGAATTCCTGCGAATTAAACGAGCAATTCAACAACGATTTAAGGTAAAACTCGAACTCGAAATCGTTAATCCAATGTTTTGTAGTAGTATATTAACAAATTTCGTCGAAAATCTATACGTTTTCAGTATTTCGAAGAAATTCGAAACTTTTCTGAAAAAAAATTGCGTTTCGTGTAAAAAATCACGAAATTAAAGGGCTAATTTCGTGATTTTTTCCACGCAATTAGCAGAGGATTGTTTGTTTTTCTTACGTTTCGTGCAAAATCTTACGAAACGAAAGCTTACATTTCGTGAGATTGCTCACGAAATTAAAGCTTTTGTTTCGTAAGATTTTGCACGAAACGTATGTGTTTATGAAATTTTGCAGTTATTTCGTGGAAAAACACACGAAATTAGTGCTTTTATTTCGTGAACACAAACACAAAATGTAAGCATTAATTTCGTGTATTTTTCCACGAAATAACTGCAAAATTTCAGTTTTTTTTTTAAGATTTGTTTTATTTATTATTATTTTTTAGACTGACGTTAATAGTGTCTTATTTAACAGATGGCATGCAAAGGCAAATCAAAGGCAATTATGCGAGCAGTTCGTGAAGAGGCTGAGCATCAAGAGCGCGAGCGCGAGCGCGAGCGCATGACTATGTCTACAGGACGTAGGCGAGAGGCTGAGAGAGCTGGTGAAGCCAGATCATCGGTTGCACATCCCGATGTTGGGTCTTCTCGTGCTATGGAGGAGGAGGAGGAGGAGGATGCTATGGACCCCATTAACGAGACTGAGGTTGTAGCTCATGGAGGTCGTGGAGGCCGAGGACGGGGCCGTGGAGGTCGTGGTGGTCGAGCTCATACTCGAGTCAATCCGGATGTGCTAGATGGTCCATTTCCCGGTGGCCCGCGGGATCCGTCTTTGATTCCGAGTTTCAAGTCGCACGTAGCGGCATATATTTGAAGGGAAGAAGTAAGTTAATTACTTGTTTTAATTTTAATATTATAATTTTTGTATCTTATATTAAAATATTTTTATAGTTGATTAATTAATATGTTTTCTAAATAAATGATTGCAGGAACGTCCGGTTGGACGACTGGAGTCCCGTATAAACTCCATGAACCAATTCAACTACGAGAAGATAACAGCTGCCCTAGAAGACATAGATGTATTCGTAGACAAGCATTTTCTGCGGATGACCGGTTTGTATCCCCTAGCCCGATGTTATTTACCGCGCATAGATGGTCCGCTGTTGTTTGCATTCGTGGAGCGGTGGCAGCCGGAGACGAACAACTTCCATATGCCGCGGGGAGAGATGACTATCACGCTCCACGATGTCCAGATGATTCTAGGTGCCAATGTGGATGGACGGGTGGTCGCGCCTAGGTACGACGAGGCCATGGAGCGGACAAATTGCGTGTATTTGTTGTCCGAGGTATTAAACCTCGATTTTGAGGAGATTGATGAGACATGGAAGCATGGGGCCCCCACATGGAGGATTATACAGAGATAGTTGCTGATGCCCGACACGCCCATGAGACGTCGAGTTCAGATATATCTGGTGTTTCTCCTCGAATCGATTTTATTCCCCGACAAGACATGTGATAGGGTGAAGCCGTGGTATATGCACGTGCTCGAGGATTCAGTGCTTGATCATGTCGGCACGTATTCGTGGGGTTCGGCATGTTTGGCCAATCTATACAGGGAGCTAGGTATATGCAGTCGAGCACAGTCGATGAGCTTGGCGGGTTGCACCACCCTTCTTCAGATAAATTTAAATATATTTTTGTACTTATTTTGTTCATAATGTTTTTAAATTTATATATTCTCTATGTTTATTTGCCTAAATATTTTTAAATAAATATTGCAGTGTTGGATATACGAGTATTTCCCGAGATTCCAGCCGCCGGAGGAGAGCGAGCGGTACCGCGAGTTTCAGCCTCGATGTAAGAGGTGGAACGCGCCGCCAAAAGCGGGCACGGTCGAGCATATTCAAGGTTTACTCGACAATATGACAGCGGATGATGTAACTTTTTTATATTTATGTATTTATATTTTTTTTAAATATGAATTTTTTGATTTAAGTGTTTATATTTTTTTTAAAGATGAAATTTTTCGATTTTATGTAATTGTAGTTTGTTTAAATATGAATTTTTCGGTTTATGTTTGTAGTTTGTTTAAATATGATTTTTTTTATTTATGTATTTATATTGTTTTTTGTTTAGGTCGAGTGGCTACCGTATGGTCGGGATATACACGAGAGTATCCCTCGTACGTTGTATCATGGCACGATCCAGTACATGTGGGTCGTAGAGCCGTATATGCCTGATCGTTGCGTCCGACAGTTCGGGTGGGTTCAGTATATTCCGCGCGGCTTGATTCCATCGATGGAGTCATGTTCACGCGGTCCCAAAGGAGGTGCATCGTACAAAGTCAACTACCCATTTTCAGGTGGTATGTGAAACATGGTCCAGGCTCATTCCATTCGTGCCAACATATACAAGACGGCACGACAACGGGGGAAAGTCGACGAGCACTACATGGAGTGGTACACCGATCGGACTCATCTGAAGATCAACAACTCCGACGTAGGCCCGACTCTAGTGCATCGAGAGAATGTGAGGCCACCAGATCAACCGGCTTATTACCAGATAGTACGTGCACTGTACCCGATCACTAGGAACACTGGACAGGACTGGATGCAGCAGTTTGCCGATCTACGTGCCGACCTTGGAGATATTATGAAGCCCGCCGCCCGATATATTGGCATCAACCAGGACAACGACAACGACGACGACGATCATGAGGTGCAGCCGCCGAGGAGAGCGAGACGGTAGTTCATCGGTTTTTTTTGCCAGTTATGTATTTTTATGAACTATTTAATTTTAAAGTTTATTTTTATTATTATTAGGAACTAATTATTTAACTAATCTTGTTTATTATTATTACGAACTATTTAATTTACTAGTTTGTTGTTTTGTATTTTAATTCACTAGTTTTATGATTTGAATTTAGAAACTACGTACAACTTAAGCAATTAAAATACACATTTAAACAACCTTACAAACAACCTTACAAATTTAATCATTCCAAACACATAGGTTAAACATATAAATGCAAAACACAACGCTACAAATTTAAATATTCCAAAACATAAATTAAACATTAAAATGCAAAATTAAAACAAATACAAATTTAAACATAAGTTAAACTTTCAAATACCCGGCAGATGGTTATGATTACCATTACTCACACTCAATCGCCATAATCCATCCTCCGTTGATTTTTTGCCAATTAACCTGAACGGACAAGAACGTTTCTTCAATAGTACGTGTCGTCCAGATTGATATCTTGCACAAGTTAAATTATGGTATTTTTCTGATTTACAATGATTAATCAGTCGATGATTATGACTAATTGTTGTGTCTTTTGCCCACATAATTAACGCTTCTCTACTATCACACACAATACCACGTTCAAAGAAGTGACTATGATCGTGAGATTGTTCTTTTAGTTCCTGCATAAATATTTGAAATTAAAAGACACTATTTAAGGGATTTCGTAGAAAAAACATACGAAATAAGAGCTTCCATTTCGTCGGTTTTACTACGAAATGTAAGCTTTAATTTCGTATGCTTTTCTACGAAACAAACAACAAACGAGTTTAAGACATATTTCGTATAGTATTAAGCATATATTTCGTGTGTTATAACACGAAATGTCTAAAAACGTTGGAAATGAACAAAAAACGTGTATTTTCACCTCAAAATCGAAGCCGTTGTAATCCATGTCAATAATACTTGTGCTCTAACTGATATTGGTCGAAAAATGACTGAATTTGAAAAATTTCAAGAATTAAAGGTTGAGAGTGTTTGAAAGGGGGTTTGGATAAGATTTGGAAAAGAAAAAAAAAATGAATTATTTTGCACTGCAAGTGGTAAAAACCGCACTGATAATAGCAAAGCCCATGAAAATATCATGGGTAATTCATTCACGTCCAATACATTTCAATTCACGTGCTCAAATGAGTTATGAGCTACAAAATGTCAAAAATCGAATATAACGTGGAAAAGTGTCTCAACTCCCAATATCGTTTTGTTGACACGGCTCTTTTTCATTATTTAATTCTTTTTGCCAGAAAAATAATAATAATAAATAGTAATTAATCTTTAATTTGTTTTGCTATAAATAGGCATACCATCGTCAATTGCTTATTGTGTGTAATATATAATATATACATATATACAGTTAGTTGTGTTATTCCATATGGAGTTGAATCTATCTCCCCAGATGGCTGACACAACCATATTCGAAGGAGATGGCGGCGGATACTACATTTGGACGGATGCCAAGTCTCCGGCGCTGGTGGAGGCGGAGCTCGCCGCCGGAAAACTAGTTCTGCAGCCACGTGGCTTTGCTCTTCCTCACTACGCAGACTCTCACAAGATTGGTTATGTTGCTCAAGGTAATTTATGTGATTGGTTGGTCTTCTTTAGATCCCCGGTCAACGATTGTTTGGTATGATCGTTGACTTTTTATCGAGTTATATTCTACCGTATAAACGTATGAATATATATATATATATATATATATGTGTGCGCGCGCGCGCGCGTGTGTTTTTGCGAGTTTGTAAATTTAGTTAAAGATGAAAAACTATCTAAAGTAATATCTAAAAGATCTACTGAAACTATGTTCGATAAGATTAAGGTGGTGTTTGCAAAATCTTTTAGAAATAGATTATGAGCTTTTTTTTTTCTCATATATATCTGTTTTAGGTGTTTGTAAAATTGATTTTAGCTTTTGCTTCTCTTAAAATAAGTTGTTTTAAGCTATAATTTTAAAAGTAATTCATGTACCTGCTTTTTCTATATAAATTGATATCGCTACTTTTTTTTAATTTATAAAAAAAGGCCCAATTGCATTTTAGAAAAGTCATAGTTGACTATATACATTTCGTACATAATTCAATAAGTTTTGATTAATACTTTTAGGCCGCGTTTGGATTAAGAGATTTGAAATGAATGGATTTCGAAATAGTCGGAAGGATTTGAAATGACTTCAAATGTAAAAAAAATCTAAAAATCTCCACAATTACTAAAGAAAATAACTAAAAATATGAGTTATGGATCTAAAATTTCTCGGCGAATGATTAAATCGAAACCAAATCGATCAATGGATTTGTTGCTACGGATGAAATCCCTCCTTTAAAAAACATTCAATGTAGGTACATGCACCGTTGGATTGGTATCGCCAACCAACTCCGAAGAGAAAGTCGTCATAATCAACAAAGGGGAGGCGATTCCGGTATCCGCCGGGACTATTTCGTGGTGGTTCAACGGCGGAGATTCCGACGTAACCCTAATATTCCTCGGCAAAGGCAGCCAATCGTACAATCCAGGACAATTCAACTACTTCTTTCTCACGGGAGCCATTGGTTTAATGGGAGGTTTCTCGACCGAATTCATCAGCAAAATTTACAATTTCGACGAATCGGACTTGCAAAAGCTGGCGAAGAGCCAAGTGAATCCGTTCATTATCAAGCTTGGTCCGGAAATAAACATGCCCTCCGAATCCAATTGCACCGTTGGAGGATACGTTTTCAATTTCGAAAACGAATTTTTTTCCAACGCGAATACTATTGAGATGACGGCCAATAATTTTACGATGCTCGATAAAATTGGGCTTAGTGCCGGTGTGGTGAAAATCGAGAGCAACACTATTATGAGCCCTTCTTACAGCACGGACTCGGCACAAAGGATATTTTACGTCACGAAAGGGAGCGGTCGCGTTCAAATCGTCGGCCTTAACGGGAGCCAGTCGTTGGATGCGATTTTGGAGGAAGGTCAGATATTTGTTGTGCCTAAGTTCTTTGCTGTAACTCAGTTAGCTGGTGAAAATGGATTGGAATTCTTCAGTGTTTCCACTTCTCCAAGGTAAATCTTGTTCGCGCATGCACTTTTTAGCTCGAATTTGTTTGGCTAAGCTTATTTTAAATATCTGGTGATTTGTTTTTCAAGAGGTGATAAATTGTTACGTTTTATTTTTAAAATTATTTTTAAAAATATTTGGATACTGAATTTATAAGTTATTTTTACTCATTAAAAGATCTTAAAATGAAAATGTGTAACTTTTTAAAAAATATTTGAATAATGAATATATAATTTGTTTTTACTCATTAAAAGTTCTTACAATGAAAAGGTGTAACTTTTTAAGAAATATCTTATCGGCTCTTCAATAACTTATTTCTTGATTTGTTCAATTCATTTTTTATTAAATTAGGGTAAATTACGGTCACCCTTGAGTTAAGGTCAAATTACGAAAAAACTCCACATGTTTGGGTAATTATAACCACCACCCCCTCAATTGTGCATTGTCTTATGAAAATATCCCGAGTTCAGTAGGTAAATTTGACACGGCAAAGGGGAACGTGTAAGACAATACATAGTAGACGAGTGATTGTAATTACCCAAACAATAGTGCTTTTTTTTTCTCGTAATTTAACCTTATTTTCGGGGAGTGAGCGTAATTTGCTCAAAAAATCACCACACATATTTTAAAAAACTTATAAGCTGTTATACATCTTATACGCTGTTTTGAACAACTTATATACATAGCTTAATCACACTTCACTATGTTGTTTAATTACCTCATTGCTCGCCAAGCAAGCAGTGAGTTTTAAGAGATGAATTTATTTAGCTTTAAATCGTATAAAAGTTGGATGTAATAACAATTAAAGTAAGCGTGTGAGGGACCAGAATACCAATAAAAAACGTGTTTTTCGTTACTTGAAGAGAAAAGAAAGAAAAAAAACGTGTTTTTATTGCAGGCCGGTACTGGGGCAGCTAGGTGGGATCGCATCGGTCTGGAAAGCGTTATCTCCACCGGTTCTACAGGCGGCACTCAGCATTTCTCCTGATTTCGTCAAAGATTTCAAGTCGAAGATTGAATAAAAAACGTGTCTTTGTTAATTTAATTATTTTTAAAATAATTATGATGAACTGTGGATTCTATTTCATTACAAAGAGCATGCATTTGTGGAGGGTGTGTGTGTGACGTATTTTAATTTTAGTATCTATTTGCATGTAATAAATTACGGAGTTATGCAGAAATTTTACAAAAAGATGACTACAATTTCATCCTTGAAGTAATATTTGATTTTATTAAGGAAGAGATTTTTTAGACATTTCCCTTGTAATACAAACATTTAATACAAATTTTAATTTGATAAACAAAATGTCTTAATGACTAAATAATTGAAGTCCCGCGAACAATGTGCTTCAAGAAAACATTGGGGGATCCGTACACGTGAACTATGCCGGGTTTGATCCGGCGGAAACCCTTCCGACGCTCAAGTCAGATGTACGGATCGTGGAGATAGTAGAGAGAATAAAACTCTAGATTGTTGGTGAATAATAAAACGTACCTTAACAAATGAGTAAAACATCTATTTATATGTCGATGATTGGGGTGGGCTTACTTTGTTGGGCCCAAGCCTTATTTTGAAGGTGATTGGGCTTTCGTATAGTGGGCCCAATTATAGGTGCTTGGGTTTTCGTGTATTGGGCCTAATTATTAGATAAATTAGGGACCCATTGGGTCGGCCCAATTAGGTATATCACTTGAGTAGAGCGAGGACGAAAATTGCAAAACCCGCCCCATTGCCATCATCACTATATGAGATATGCAATTTAAGGGTGTAATTTGCCAATTTTAAAATTGAAGGGCCTAAAGAGACAATTTATATTATTTCAGGGTGGCAAAACGCAATTCACCCAAAATTTTCCTTCATTTTCAGGCATATTTTACTTGTCGATATCGGGTCAACCCGATCCATTTGAAAAAAACCCTGACTCACTGAGAAATTGAATTTCTCACTCTCAAGGCGGGAGAATTACCACCGCCCACCGGCCCACGAATCCACTTTCTCTGTAATCAGTCGCCGGAAAAGCTCGAACTCTTGGCTAGAACTCACATCAGTTTCAATCACCACCGCTGCAAGCGAATTGTGAAAAAAAAATGTCGAAGTTCGAGTACCCAAGGCTCCCCCGCCACGAGATCATTGCGGTACTGGCCGAATCCCAAATCGCCGCCGTGTCGGAGGCGGACCTCCTCCACCCCGACCCCGACTTCATATGCAACCTGTACACGCACATTTTCCTCCACATGGACGCTCTCCAGCAGTAAAATTCCCAAACCCTATCTCCTGCTTTTTTTTTTTTTTGGATTCCTTAAATTGCAAACGATTTGTAACCACCGTAATCTCCAGGGAGGATCCGGGGCAGGTGGAATTCGGGGCGCTGGAGCAGCTTGAAAACCCGGATTACCATGCGCACTCAGTTCAGGTCATTAATTTGTACGAAAAAATCCGAAAATTTATCGCCGCCGTCAATTGCCCTAGAGCCTTCACTCCTAAAGACTTGATGAAGCCGGAGACTGAACGCACGGAGCTTTTTCTCGGCGCCCTACTCAATTTTCACCTCCACAGGTTAAATGCTTTACTATTTCGAGGAATTTGTTCATTTTCAGTAGCTTGAAATCCTGTGTGTTATTTGTTTTTTTTTTTTTTTTTTTGGTTAGACACACGAAACTGAATCTATTGAAGCCAATTGGGGATGATTTGGATGCTTTTGAGGAGAGACGAGTAGCCGCTGAAGCTAGAATATCACAGGTACCATTGGGAAACTGATTTTTTTTGCAGATACTTATGTTGGATAAGTTTTATATGCATTTACTTTTTGAATATCTCAGTTGAATGCGGAGATAGCAGAGTGTGAGGAGTTGAGAGAGAGTGAATTGCCGCTTATCCAAGAAAAAAAATCTCAAAACAAGGAACTGCATCAGACGGTTTCAGGTCTTAACAAGCATCAAATGAGCTTGAAGACTTCACTTAAACAATTGAAGGAAAAATGCAAAGAAATTGACGACAAGGTTTGCCTTCTGTTGGCTTGATGTTTTTCTTTATTAGGTTAAGATTTTCGACTTTTATTATAAATACTCTTGATTCGTTGACGTGGATTGTTGTTCGTTACTAATCTTTATAGTAAGCATTTGCCTTTTCTTATCAGATATCTAATGCTGAATTTGAATACGTTCAAAGTGTCCAAGAAAATGCCAGTTTACGTTCAAAACTTGTCCAGTCACCGGACAAACTTCAGGTATATTGTCAAATCTCTGTGAATTCTGCATAGGGATAGAAAAAACTTCCACGAAATGAAAGATAGTTAGTCTAATACGTTAACAAAGTTATTGCAAACATTTTGTTGTCACAAAGAAATATGCTGCTGTGACAGTAAGGGTCGTGCTGCTTCTGTGCGTTCCAGGATGTATCAGTGTTGAGACATTATAATTAACAAAGGCATGTGTTGTTAGGCACCAGAATGCATACGAATTTGCATCTTTACTATGTGTTTATGACTGTTTGTTGTCCCTGTAGGCATGATCTTTTTGACATAACTAAGCATGATGTATATAGTTCTTCGTTTTATAGATGTCTAAACTCTCTAGTTTTATCGATGCAGCGTTATTTTTTGGTTTGTATACTTTTTTACGTCATGAAATCCTGCAAGATGCATGTTTGTGACGAATTTATTTGCTGCTTTCTTGTCTTGGCGTTTATACTTTATTAAGTTCCCTTAGGTAGTAAAGCTAGGTAAAAAAAAAAAAAAGAGACCGTATTGAAACATTTATAACCTGACTCTGGCGAGCGATGCATCTGTTTTCCTGATTATTTTACAAATTGCAGAGGGCTTTGAAAGAGAAAAAATCGCTCCAAATTGAGAAGAAAAATGCTGAACGAGCTGCAGTACAATCTTTTCAGGATAAGACTGCCACACTTGAGGCCTATGCTAAGGTGTTCTCCCTGTAGAAATATCACATTGCATAGTTTGACCTTCATAGCAATTCATATCTTCGACAGCAGCAACTGTAGAAGCTTACAGATTTTGTCATTTTCTGTTGCTCCATAGATTTACTCCATTAGTTACATTTATGACCGTGCTATGAATGCATTCATTTAGTTATAATTATTTTTTGAAATTTTCTTTTCCCTCAGGCTTGCAAGAAAATGTCCAAGCAATATGCTCAGATGCAAGCTGTGCAAGAGCAGGTTTGTCAGTCAAAATATATATGCTTCACTATCTCGACTTCTTTCCCTTTTGGTTGTAAATTTTTTTATCAAAACAAGAGGGGAAAAGTATAATGGAAATAATTACGGATCCCTACTATCAAACAGGTAAATTCTGCAAAGTCGGTTGATAAAGATGTGAAGGTCCTCAAAAGTAAGCTTAGTGATGAAGGAGTTTTGATTAAGTCGCACGAAGCAAAACTTATGGAACTGCAATCAAAAGGTAGCCATAGTATCATCTGCTATAATAATTGCCTTTGCCCTTTCTACTCTGCTGTTTTTTCTTAAGTTCACTATATAAATCCAGCCGACAAGTTAAAAGAATTCAAAAGGCAGCTGGAAAAGGAGAGAGCTCTCCACCATGAGGAAGGGAGCAAAGAGTTAAATAATGTGAGATTAGAAGTGGAATCAAAAAGGCATGCATTAGAATTGAGTCAGAGAGAGGTGGAATCGATAGTTGCGGAGGTATTATTGATATTTCAATCGTTTTCACTGGTTTATTAGCTATCTGATTATCTAGTTTTCAGTTTAATATGCTCGGAACATTTTTTCAGGCGGAGGCTATAACTTCAAAGAAGAGAATTGTAAAGGAGGAGGGAGAAGCTAAAATGCTGCAATTAGGCCGTAAATTTGAAGAAATTGTGACAGAGGTACATTTATTCGTGTTCTTATTAACTATATCTAGTTCTCTTCTATTATTAAACGAATTTGCTTTATTCACAACCCTATAGTTTGTTCGCTACGTTAGGATAATTTTTTCTAGCTGATTTACTTTTTCTCCGAAGGTGTTGCGATATGACATGCAGTATATTATTCTCTTCATGAGTCGTAGAAGTAGACTTTCGTAGTATATCTGACGAGATATAGTTTGTATATATTATATTCAATATTCAATTATTTTACGGTTATTATTCGAGTATAGCTAAGCTGACAATTATGATTACCTATGCAGTTCGAAAACTACTACAAGTCGATGAATAACTTGATGCCGATGAATGTACTAGACAAAGAAGTCGTTCGTGGAAGGAGCTGATTTTTTTATATGTGCACTTGGTTAATCTATCTATGGCTGGGCGCCCATGGTAGAGCTTTCACTTTACTATACCTCACTTCTGAGTTGTTATTTAACTTATTATGTAAGATAGTTTTTTTTTTTTTAAATTGATTTTGTGTGTTATTACAGCACATTTAAATAAACTGCTAAAAGAATCTTGTATTATATTGAAACTAATAGATTGTAATATATGTGTGACTGTTTGTGTAGTGTATTCAATCTTCAAAATTCTCAATTTTAGGCAAATAATTCAAATGTGTCATTAAATGAGAATTGTTGTCCTAGAAAATGGCAGCAACTTTCTTAGCCTTTATTTAGCTTCCAGGATCTAAACTAATTGCCAAAAAGCATATACAATAGTTAATTTTGTCAATCATACTAAATTTATTTTCATTTATTCAGATATATTTTAATCACATAAATATGACCTTTGTCTCTCTACTTTATCTTTTTTTTCTTTATTTTTTTTTTTCTCTTTTCAGTTTGAAAAATAAAGCACTAAAATTAGTAAAGGCAAACAAAGTAATGAACAAATAAGTATTAAAAATCTCAAAGTGTCTGCTGCTCCTTCCGCCGCTCCGCTCCGCCCTCCGCCGCCGTTCAAAATGCCAATAGAGCGCCCCCGCCTCATCCTACTAACCCTCACACTCTCACTCTCGTCGGCGGTTCTCGTCGGCTGCCACTACTTCCCCTCCACCCCTTCCGCCGCTTCCCAGTCCGACTGGAAATCCGCCCGGGCAACCTACTACGCCGCCGCGGACCCCATCGACGCCGTCGGCGGCGCGTGCGGCTACGGTGACTTGTCCAGGAACGGGTACGGCAAGGCCACCGCCGGACTCAGCACCGTCCTCTTCGAGAAGGGCCAGATCTGCGGCGCCTGCTTCGAAATCCGCTGCGTGGAGGACCTCCGGTGGTGCATCCCGGGAACCTCAATCATCGTCACCGCCACGAACTTCTGCGCCCCCAACTACGGATTCGACGCCGACGGCGGCGGTCGGTGCAACCCGCCGAACTCGCACTTCGTCCTCCCAATCGAGTCGTTCGAGAAGATCGCCATTTGGAAGGCGTCCAATATGCCGGTCCAGTACCGGAGGATCAGGTGCAGGAAGGAGGGAGGGGTCCGGTTCAGCATGGGCGGCGCCGGAATATTCCTGTCGGTGCTGATTAGCAACGTCGCCGGCGCCGGAGACGTGGCGGCGGTGAAAATCAAGGGCTCCGTAACGGGGTGGCTTCCGATGGGGAGGAATTGGGGGCAAAATTGGCATATAAATGCGGATTTGAAGAACCAGCCGCTGTCGTTCGAGATTACGAGCAGTGATGGAATCACACTTACTTCTTACAATGTTGCCCCCAAGAATTGGGATTTCGGACAGTCTTTCGAAGGTAAGCAGTTCGATTAATTCCTACTGAGTTTTTTGTGCGATATTTTTTTTGATGGGGAAGAAAGAGAGTGTTCTGTTCAGTTCAGTTCAAGTCTGGTAATTTATTGTATAATAGTAATATTGGATGTTTTTGTAGTGTATCTCTTATTTTCATTATTCTAATTGTCTAAAATGTGTTGGGGGTTTTTTTGACATTTTTTTGGGTAAATTATAATCAACCCTGACCTAAGATTAAATTATGGAAAAAAAAAAAATCATTTATCTTTGAGTAATTACAAGTAATCCTTTAGTTATGTGTTGTCTGACACTTTATCGTTACAATTTCAAATTTACCTATTTAACGAGGTGTTTTTTCATAAGACAATACATAATTGATGGGTATTTGTAATTATCCAAACAGTAATCTGGTCTTACCTCAGGGAGTTGGCTGTAATTTGCTGATTTTTTTTATTTATGGTTTGATCACTTGTAAAGTAAAAACTTGGCACAAATTCTTGGAATGGTTTAACTATGTAGCTAAGTTTTCACAATGAGACAAGGGCTCAACTTGGAATCTTCACATGGATTAAAATTTACAAAAGTTAATATTTCATGAGGCTCATATTATTGATTCAACTGTTATTCCGTACTAGTGTGAATACCAAAAATAACACTACTCGTCAAAGTTAGTGTATGATACGAAAAACGAAAAACAAAAAACAAAAAACAAAAAACGAAAACTTTTAATACGATATAAAAAGTCATAGTGAGATGCATAGATGTAATTTAAGAAATAAAAATATGTTTTAGATAAAATAATCGAACGGAAACTTTTAATAATTGATATGTAATATGATATAATTCAAAAACTTAAAACTAAAATTCAAAGTACAAACATCAACAATTAAAAGTTTTTTTTTTCTTTTCTACTTTCATGCTCGTTTTACCTCGTAATAGTAATCCGGATCGGCCATTGAAGTTGTTGTTATAGCTTGGCAACAAATTTGTCAAACGACCTTCAGATCTATAAATTTTGAATTTTTTGATTAGAGAGAGTTTCGATTTTTTTAGAAAAGTAGAAGAAAAAAAAACGAGACTACCGCAACATATAAACCAATTCCAATCTCAGTAAAAATCTCGTTGCAATAGCATTTCAATAAAAATAAGACAAGGCTACTTCTTTATAATCTCCAATTTTAACCGATTTTGAATCTAGTAAATAAAATTTTGGTCAAACTCGTGACAAATAACTAGTCTATTGTGTAGTCTGGTTTCAGTGCACTTTAGGTGACGAAAGTTGTCTCGACAATTAAAAAAAGAATATACAACAATAATTAACTAGTTTTCAATTCAATCATTGTTTACATAATAATAATTTCGTGTCTCAAAAATTCATTCAATTTTCGTTGCGAAAAAATGGCTGAATTACAAAAACTTCCCTGAGCTTAGGTTAAATTACAAAAAGACACCCCATTTATCCGTAATTACCAAATTCATAATTTCCCAAAAAAAATATATATATATCATCCAATTCATAATTATTCCCGCCATCCTCCCATTTCCATTCCCATCCTCTCCAATTCACAGACGCTGCGCAGTGGAAACTATAAATTCCTCCATGAAACGGGAAACCCAAGCTTCTGTAAAGCCGATCACGGGTACCATTTTGGAACCTTTCTTCAAACCGCCACAAATCCCAGTCCAACCCTCCTCTTACGCCGCCGTTTTCCGGGCATTCACCGGCAAAAGCCTCCTCAAACAAGGTCAGCAGCTCCACGCGCACATGCTCATCCGCGGCGTCAGCCCAACCGCTTTCCTCGCCGCCAAAATGGTCGCCATGTACGCTAGCTCCGGCGACATCTCCCCCGCCTCCCGCATCTTCCACTCCGTTCGAGAACCCACTACGCTGCTGTTCAATTCCATCATTCGCGCCTACAGCCTGTACAGATTTTCCGGTGAGACTTTGCAATCCTTTGCGCGGATGCATTCGTCGAGTCTTCGAGGGGATTATTTCACCTACCCGTTTGTTCTGAAGTCCGTCGCCGACTTATTCCTCATCCGTTTCGGAAAATGCACTCATGGTTTGATCGTGAAAGATGGGTTGGATTTCGATGTCTACGTGGGGACTTCATTGATCGATATGTATGTGAAATGCGGTGAATTGAGCGATGCACGCAACATGTTCGACCAAATGCCTGCAAGAGACGTGTCATCCTGGAACGCGTTGATTTCAGGTTATATGAGAGACGGCACCTTCGAGTTAGCCCGTGAGCTATTCGACAAAATGCCAGTGAAGAATATCGTGTCGTGGACGAGTATGATTTCTGGGTACACTCAAAACGGGCTTGCCGACAACGCTCTGCAACTGTTCGACGAAATGTCGAGGCAAGACTCAGAAATGAAGCCCAATTGGGTTACGATTATGAGCGTCTTGCCAGCATGCGCACACTCATCCGCATTAGAGCGTGGCAAGAAAATTCATAATTTCGCCCAAGAAAAAGGGTTGGATTCTCATCCTTCAGTCCAAACAGCACTCGTCGGAATGTACGCCAAATGTGGCAGCCTAGCCGACGCTCGGTGGTGCTTCGATAGAATAAAACCGAACTCGAAAAACCTGGTTTCTTGGAATTCGATGATCACTGCATATGCTTCTCACGGGCTAGGCATGGAGGCAGTCCAAACTTTCGAGGACATGATAGAATCTGGTGTGGGCCCCGATGGAATTTCGTTTACCGGATTGTTATCCGGCTGTAGTCATTCCGGCCTAGTAGATATTGGATTGAGATATTTCGACTCAATGAGTTCGGTATATCTTGTCGAAAAAAAACACGAGCATTACGCCTGCGTAGTGGATCTTTTGGGGCGTGCAGGAAGATTAGTGGAAGCTTACGAACTTATCTCTCGAATGCCAATGCAAGCTGGGCCGAGTGTTTGGGGTTCTTTACTGGCTGCCGGTAGATGTCATCGTAATTTAGAGATAGCGGAATTAGCTGCGAAAAAGTTGTTCGTTTTAGAACCGGAGAATAGTGGGAACTATGTTATACTCTCGAATATGTACGCAGAAGCTGGTATGTGGGAGGAAGTTGATAGTTTAAGGGGCGTGCTTAAATCGAAGTGCGTGAAGAAAAATCCGGGGTGTAGTTGGATCGAAATGAACGGAAAAGCCCATTTGTTTCTTGGAGGCGATGCTTCTCATGCACAAACGAGGGAGATTTACTCGTTTCTTGAGGAACTTCCGGAGAAGATGAAGGCGGCTGGTTACGTACCGGATACTAGGTTCGCGTTGCACGATATTAGTGAAGAGGAGAAGGAGTTTTCGCTAACGACGCATAGTGAGAAATTGGCGATTGCGTTCGGGCTGCTTAATTCAAAGGGTGGAGAAGTTCTTAGGGTGACCAAGAACCTTCGGATTTGCGGGGACTGTCACACGGCGATTAAATTTATTTCCAAGATTTACGATCGGGAGATTGTTGTGAGGGATGTGAATCGTTTTCATCGGTTTAAAGAGGGGTCTTGTTCTTGTGGCGATTACTGGTGAAAGAAAATGGAAAGTCTGCAAATTTCGTGCGGGCATTGAATTTCGCCTATTTCGGTCGATTTTAGAACAATGTTTTTTCTTTTTGAATTGCAAACATTTTGATTTTCGAATTTCCGATACAATATTTTCTTGAAAGAAATTGCAAAAATTATATTTAACTCAAAACATATGACAAAACAAAAAGTAGTAATCATCAATTTATTATTTATTAGCTTCTCATAAAACAAAAAACAAATAATGCAACTAAATAAAATGAGAGGAGTAATAATTTTAATTTAATATAATTTAATTAATTAGCAGGGCATTTTACAAAGACAAGTATCTTTAACAGAAGAAGAACAGCCGCAGATAAAATAATATATGTTAGGACCAAAGGTGTCTAGGCATACATCTGCACAGTGTTTTGATTCACAATTTTGCATTGGTATTTCCTTTATGCATTCTTCTTCTGACTTCATACCTAAAACCAAATAATTAAATTTAATTAATTAAAAAAAACAATCTTGAATAAATTCTTATTCATTTTAAAATGGTAAAACCCTTGAGTAAAATTATTGATTTTTAATTAAAAAAAAAAGAAATTGAGATTTTAAATTAAAAATAAATTTCAATTTTCTAATATAAGCGAACATTCCTTCTCGCACATTAATATAAAAAAAAAAAAAAAATCTGGCTTCGCCACTGAGAAGCACAGATCTCGTATTTTGTTTAGATTCTGCAATGCAGATCGAATCATCGTCCGTCTTGAGAATAAAAATAATATTAAGATTGTATAGAAAAAAAATAATAACAAGAGTAGAAATAAAGATTATAATGTGGGATTGGCAAGAAATTAAAGCACAAAATATATTATAAAAAAAATTACTTGGCAAATTTGACATGATGATTAAGCAAACCATCAAAATTGTTGCAACTTTCATTGTTTTCTTCTTTATTTATTTGTTTGTTTGTTTTTGTGTGGAATAATTGGTCTGTGTTTCTCATGTATAAGTACTAGAGAGAAATATTGACTGTTGAGGCAATTTAATTTCAAATTATATAATCTTTAAGGGAATTGCACCAATTTAAATATTTAGACTTTGACTAGCTAATATACTTAGAATGGACTTAAATATAATTAATCATTGTGTACAGTTGCAGTAATTTACTATTTGATATTATTTATACAAAGTAACTATGGTGTAGCGTGTGATGAATTAGGTGTTGGAGATATTAGTATTAAATGATACATTTGGTTAATAAATTTAACAATTTGAGTGTATTAGAGTCAGACAAAATAAAATACAAATTAGATTTACATACAAATATAGTTCCTCCTTCACAACTGAAAAAAGGAAAAATAAAAATATTTTATGCTTAAGTAATATTATTTTTCACTAGAGAAAAAAATTATATATTTTTTTTTTAAAACAACAAATTTTGCATAAATAAGATGTTTCTCTTAATTATAAAAAAAATATATTCACAAACTTCTCTATGTTTTTTTGAGAAAAAATAATATATTAATAATGTTTGTGCTATGTTTTTTTTATGCAAGAAACACCTCATTTCTACCAATTGAAGAAGATCTTGACTATTTATTGCATGTTCGAGAATTATCTTGAGATGATTCGAGTTAACTTATTATTGACCGCATCAGATATGCATAATACCACATGTAACAAAGGTACAATACAATTTTTGGTACACTAATTAAATAGAAAATTAAATATAATAAAATAATACTAATTTATTTGGTACCGATATATATATTATTATTTGCAGGGCATTTTACAAAGACAAGTATCTTTAACAGAAGCAGAACAGCCACAAACAAAATAATATATGTTAGGACCAAATTTTTCCAGACATAAATCTGAGCATTTACTGGATTCACAATTTGGCATCTGCAGTGGCTTTGTGCATCCTGGTTGTGAATTCATACCTAAAACCAAAAAAAAAAAATATATATATATATATATTATATGTTAAAATAGATATTCATTATATATAATATTTATTCATTTTCAAATGGTAAAAAATCATTATTTATATTATCGCATAAAAAATTGGATTTCAAAATTATGAATGTTTTAATTTTCAACTTTTTTTTTTAGAGAAGTGACATGCAGTCAACTATATAGATGCACTGGATAAACCTACAATCTCGTATAATAGCTTGTAAACCATACGAGAGACGTGTAAATCAGACTATGCTAACCATATGTGACAATTTTAACCTAAAACAACCGTTGATAATCGGATTCGAACTATAATAATACCTACTATCGAATTTTCTAGATAGCTATATAAAAAAAAATCATATTAATAGATAAGAAACAAACAAATTTGTTTATGAACATATATAAACATGGGATCAACAATAAATTAAAGCATAAAATATAAACAAATTACCTGGCAAATTGGCCATGATGACGAGGCAAAGCAACAAAGTTATTGCAACTTTCATTTTTGTTCTTCTTCTTCTTTTTTCCAGAGAATTGATTTGTGTTTTTGGACAATTAATTTGACATTATATATTATTGTATGGCGCGTGGGAAGTAATATATTGGAACTAATATTGTGGGAAGTAATATTAAAGGAAAATTCTTCAGCGTGACTATTGGAAATATTTTATTTACTTTAATGTATCTGTTTATTCTCAATTTTAATATTTGTTTGATGTTATTTCCATCGTTTATATATTTAAATATGGAATTAACCAAGTATAGGAAATACTGTAAATCTGTTGTGTTGATTTTATTTTATTTCGATTATTTTTAGTCTTAAAAAAAATAACAAAACCATATTTTGAATTGATTTAATAGTATATTTCAAAATTAGCACCAAAATTTGCTGAAGCTGAATTTGGGAGAAATAAAATAATAAAACAAAAAAAATAAAGCTGAATTTGGGAGGAAAAAAATAATAACTATGGGGTGAGAGAGGCTCGAACTCTCGACCTCAGGATCACTCAACAAGCTATGAGACCTACGCGCTAGCCAACTGCGCCACCACCCCATGTTGTTACAGTATCAGAGTGTTCCTTATTTGATCTTTATATTCGGGACTTGTATCAACAAATTTAAAGTAAGCACTTCTATAATCTCTTTCATCTAATGGAAAATACAGGACATAAGTTAGTTTTGGTCGTTTACATAATCATTCGATACTCACCTTTACTTTTATCCCTATAACGATGTTTTCAGTAATATGAACGCCTTTCGAATCATTTTATCCATGCCGCTATAGATGATTTTGGCTCTTTTGTGTAGTCTTGTTCTTTTAGCATCATAAACAATTGCTTTTGCCCGTATTTTGCATAAAAAAACGAGAATTATTCAAAATCCTCCCCTACCTAAGGCATGTACGATGGACTTGACCAAATACTTGGCTCACTAATGAAATATTTTTCATCAACAAATAGACATGCGACGATTCCTGCCTAAACGGCAACAACGGGGCATAAAATTTCACATTCACTATTCGTCAGTGGAAAACTATCGAGACATTCAACTGAAAAGTATTTGTCTGAACGAGGGTGCAATTCGTTATAATGTACAAGTACTACTGTATTCGTAGTTAAAAAAGTATTAGTTCCGGTAATTTCTACCTCTATCATATTTTAAGTACATTTCTTCCCCCACAGAAAAGAAAATCGCTACATCTTTATTTTGATTCTTCCACAGGAACAACCGAATATGTACACTCGACATCCTCTACATCGTTGCCATTTTCTTTAACCTTGGTCCATGATATTCTCCATATTTGTAGTAGAGTGACCCTGTAATGAGAAAATGTTAAAAGAAATTCATCGATACACGAACCACGAAAAAAGGGCATCAATGGAAACAAGTTATAACTCTTCAGCAACTTAATACAGATCTTCATCCATAAAATTGTAATTCATGATAAAATAAGCAATAAAATCCGGCATGTTCATTTTGTCACTTAATTTGACTGTGCAAATTCCTTACGTGTGAAATTGCATACTTTAAAGCTATCGTAGTTACAATTCCATAACTCTTCATTGCTCTTTCTGTTCGAGGAGAATATCTTTCAATTTAATCATGTCCATCACTACTTATATTAAACTCGACAAAAACTCATCTTCTAGTAATAAAAAATAATTGACGAGCATCGTCACATAGTACATGTCACAGCACAGGGCTACTATACGTTATATAGATGCACAAAAATAGAGGGCATCAAACAGGGGGAAAAACGAGTATACCTTTCTTCTGTAATCTCCCTCTTTGCAAGCATTATAGTCAAGAATATAGGAACCATAGCAGCACATAAATGCTTTATCGTGTGGCCGCTGACGATATGGAAAGTAAAATTATAAATAGGTTTGTCGGCTGCTTCTTCAATCTTAGCTATGAGATAGAACCCTGAACATATAAAATCAAACCTCAATCAGCATGTCATAAACCCGTAACACGACTGTAGCATTAAACAATACAAACCTGCCGCCCAAAGCCAATATGTCGAGTGTGTGTACATAGGAGGCAGTAGTATAGCCATCACGGGAATTACTATACATGGTACAAACTGGACCACAGCATAAGGACGGAGGTCGTCGAAAAACCTATTAACAAAGAGTAGCTAAGTTGTAGTGACGAAGCAATGTAATGTAACAATCTGTACGAGGTCTTTCTTTCAAGTGTAAAAAAAACAGTTAACGACCGGACATTTTTTACAATTTGATACATAAATAGGCTTAACAGCAAAATATGTACCGATAAAATACTAAATTTGTCGATTTCAAGAAAAACGAACTGGCACATCGCTATACCGAATAAAATAAACAAGACTATGTATCAATTACTGACAATGGTATCTTCTGGGATTATATAATCACGCTTACCGCCAATAAACGATGCTGACTATACCGGCCAAGATGAGGGGGACGATGGACCAAGTTCCTTTACGTTCATCCACTCTTTCAATAATAAAGATCGCGATAATAGATGTAAATGCCACGGTCATCTATGAACATCAGATTGCAAGTGTCAAACATAGTTTATATCTAATAACTAAACACGATAAAATATGGGAAGTCATGCAGTTCAGAGTGGATGAAAGCACACCGGCAAGCGGTCCCACACAAGGCGAGCATCATTAGGCTCTAGGTGATAGTAAGCTGAACCAAAAGCAACTGCTGCCACACCGACGAAAAACACTGTCCAACCGCAAAGCTCACCCTGAATGCTTTATAAACATCCACACACAAAGAAAATCATAACATTGAAAAATTGGTGATAAATGACCACAGAATTGAGCAAATTCGCCGTGATAAGAATTTTTATTTTATTTTTTATTTATACCTTAGCTTAAAGTAGTTCTTGTAATAGCAAAGTACAAGGCCTATTACACCAACAACCAAGAAGGGGAAGTTGGAAATCACATTCAGCGCATTTGGAATTCCTGAATAAAATCAAATGACAAACAAAAGCAGCATGGTTTAGTAACTACGACTTCCTTGAAACAGCTAAAACAATAATTAACGACAATCACAAAAACAAATGACATCAGAAACTTTCCGAAAAAAAAAGGAATCAGAGATGACAACAGAATTCATATGTTACGATTAGTGGACGGGTTGAAGGGTAGAATGGTAATTTCAAAGGAATACCTAGTTATGGGCAAAGAGTGGAGTAAGCTAGAATATATTCCCATATGTATCCTCATTTGGCAAGTGCACTGATACGGATTTGGGGTCTGACCTTATACAAATTTAGGGCATTCTAGTGTAGGATCATACGTTCTTCTCGTTGTTCGAGCAGTTAACGGTTTTGCTGTTTCTACTTTTTTTTGTCGTTAATTGTTGCTGTTTTGTTCTTTCTTTGCTCATTCTTGCCGTTATTGTCCTTGTTTCTCTTTCGTAGATGTAATCAGAAACCTCGATTTTCAAGTAATATTCACTTGTTGGTTTCCTCAATTGGTTCCTTGTTCAAGATTACTCAGCTGAATTGAACTCATATTTAAAATTCATAAAACTCTGTGATCAGGAAAAAAAAAATGGAAAAAATCATCTGCATATATCCTACATGAACATAGCAAACCCTTAAATAAAAACCTCAACAACCAAAATAAATAAGGCAACAAAACCTGACTAGGAAGACAAAAGGATAAGCATTTTCCGTTCTATTACTATAAATTCAGAGAAAGAAGCTGTGAAAAAAACTACTAAAAGTCAAAGAAGAAATTAAAAAAATGAGCAAAATAGAGTAATCAAAAAAATACGAAGGAGAGAACTCGGAGACAGGAAAACAAAAAAAAATTACCGAGGAATTCACGCTGGTCGGCGAAATCGTGGTATTCCTGGGACTGAGGGATTGCCGGAGTGACTAACATTAGAACTACGAAGCACACGATTGCGACGCCCCATACCAACGCCGTCCGTTTCCTCATCTCCTCCGAGTTCGAGCGGTGGTGGTGGTGGTGGAGGAGAAGTGCGATCGAAGATCGAGGAGGTGTAAAGAGCCGATCGCTGTAAAATTGATACTGAGGATTCTAATTTGCGAGACTGGTTCTTATTTCTGATGAAGTGTTGAAAGGAAGGGGGAAGAAGAAGTAATTTCGCGCTTTCTTCACGGCAGGGGATCGGGTTGACATAAAGTCGCTATTGATAATAATAACAAGTCATTGATTTAGTTTACTCAAAGGCGCGTGACCCACCCCGTGTTGAACTTTGGCTTTTGGATAGAGTAAAAAATCATTTAATTATGGGTTAACGGCATAAAATCCTCTAAACTTTAAACCATTTTGCATTTTATTCCTTAAATGAGAAAAAATTGCACAAGCATAGTTGAACTCACTAAATTGTTGCATCGGTGACTAAGAAGTCTATTTTAAGTCAAATTGGTTCGTAAATTGCACATGTTTAACTCACACGTGAAAAATATGGAGCAATTTCGCCAGTTGACTCAGTTTCATTGAAAAATGAAAAAAAAGGGGCAATTGCGGCAAAGAAACCACCACCAGCTGACTGAACAACCAGCATCGATTGGTCGGTGGGCAGATTTTGAGACCGGAGCACCGGCGAAAAACTCAATTTCTCTTGCCTTATGGCTTGAAAAAGTAGGGATTTGAGAAATTGTTTGATGCACAAGGGGAGTGAAAACTATTGATGGTGTATCAATCGAGTGGTATGTGTGCAGTCTTCTCGGCTCATTACCAATAACATATGGCGCGAAGAGCTAAAATCTCCAGACCTTGGTTCTCCTCAGTGTGGATTGCACTGATCCCAAGTTGTATCAAAATCAATATTGACACGGCTCTCCCTCAAGGTATGCCTTTCCATGCAGTCTCTATGGTGGCTAGGGATCACAACGGTTCGTGCCTCGCGTGGATGGTCCAGAAAATTCCAGGCGTCCCATCTCCAACGGATTGTGAAGCTCGAGCAGTTTTAGAGGCGAAGAAATTTTCGGTTTCAAAAGGATGGACGAAAGTAATTTTTGAAGGCGATTGATTGCTCAGAAGTTATCAACACTCTCAAACTCAGCGAGGTGTCTACTATTTCTTATGGAGCCTATCTCAACGAGTGTTTCAATATTTATGTTCTTTTTCGAGTTGCGCTTTTTCTTTTATTAGACATAAGAGTAATGCTTTGGCCCACTTACTTGCTACTAAGTATTTTGCTATTCTACTGAAGGCGTTTTGCTTCCCAACAATTTAGCGATTCACGCTTTGCGCTTCCTTTAAAAGAAAAATGAGCTTAAGAAAATAATGGCTTCTTAAACAATATAAATAACCAATTATAAGTAAAGTGTTGAGACTTTGAGGATGAAAAAATATATCAAACACAAAGAACAAATAATATAATTTAAGAGTGCTACTAATGTTATTGGACTTAAAATTAAATAATATAATTTAAGAGTACTAAATCCCTAAATAAACCTCCAAATGGGCCATAATTACAATTTTGCCCTAATTACCCGCCCCAACAGAACAACCCCCAAAACCCGTCCCCACAACTCCGCCCCCACTTCTCAGTAAAAACCCCGCCGCCGTCTACTCCTTCCTTGTATATAAAGCAAAGAAGGCGAAACCCTAGCCTCCCCCTCTCTGTCACGCAGCAAACACGCAGTGAGTGTGGCAATGGCGCAATCTCTGGAGCTTCTGCTGATACAATTTTTGATGCCGGACAACGACGCCCGGCGGCAGGCGGAGGATCAGATTAAGCGGTTGTCCAAGGACCCGCAGGTGGTTCCCGCCCTAGTCCACCACCTCCGCACGGCCAAGACCCCCAACGTCCGTCAACTCGCCGCCGTTCTCCTCCGCAAGAAGATTACCGGCCACTGGGGCAAGTTATCACCGCAGCTCCGCCAGCTGGTGAAGCAGTCGCTCATTGAAAGCATCACTGTGGAACACAGGTTCGGCCTCTGCATTCTTCCTTCTTATCATTTTCAATATCACTGATTAGTTTATTATTCTCGTAAGAATTGTTTTCTGCGAATTGGTTAGTTGGATCAACTCATCACAGCCGTTGGATGGAATCACTCAATTTTTGGTTGAGTTCTTCCTTTCAATTACTTAGTTGAAATTGATTCACTATTGATAAAGTCTGTTGAAGGCAAAATCTAATTTTTTAGCATTTTAATAATAATAAAATATATCCGTTCCGACTGCAAAATTGCCGTGATGTCTGCGACCGTTGCTGCGAACCATGCTACCGACCAATTTAGTACTGCAGATAAATTGATGGAGATAACTTTGTGCATTTCTTATCCTTTTCAGATTGATAAAGTTATGATCTTTTGTCTTTAAATGTGGTGTTACTATCGTAAATTTTTATATGTGGTTGGGGTCTGGTGATCTGAGTGATTCATGTGTTACCGATTTTGGCAGTCCACCAGTCAGAAAAGCTAGCGCAAATGTGGTGAGCATCATTGCGAAATATGCTGTCCCATCTGGTGAATGGCCCGATTTGCTGCCATTTTTATTCCAGTGTAGTCAAAGTGCACAAGAAGAGCATAGAGAAGTAAGTTAATCGTCCTTGTGTTATTACGCAGACTTTCCTCTGAAGTCCCCTTTTTTAGTTATACTACCATTTTCTCGTTCGTTATAGTTTTGATGGATTAGTCTTCCAACTTATTGATGTCGACCTATATATTTTATTAATATATATATGTGTATATATATTATTGTCACCTTTTGTAAAAGGTACACGATGTTTTCTGTGCCATATCTATTCACTGCATAAACCAAGGGGTGAAAGTTTGATCATAATATTCCTAACTCATTCATTTGTAACTCCTAGGTGGCATTGATACTTTTCAGCTCGTTGACCGAGACAATCGGGAATTCGTTTCGACCATATTTTGCAGATTTACAATCTCTGCTACTTAAGTGCCTACAGGATGAGACCAGTAATCGTGTTAGAGTTGCTGCTCTCAAGTAATGTTTTGCTTGAAAATTTGTTTGACGTTGTTAATTCAGTTGAAGATAATTGATCAAGGTACTTACACGTTCTGCATTTTGTGGTATCAGGGCAGTTGGTTCGTTTTTGGAGTTCACTCATGACGAGACAGAAGTGGTGAGTTGCAATTTCCTCTGCACTGCAAGTTACTGTAGATAATGGTTATTTTCGTGAGTTCCTATTTGTGTTAGTGTTGGACCCCCCTAGTTCAATCATACAACCGGTTTCTATAAGATTGTATAAATCTTATCTTTGCTAATTCCATTGTGGCAATCAAACGAGGCGTAAATGTATGACCACCACACATGTTTATCATGACAACATATGAACATAAGAGCAAACTTTGCCTCTTCATTCCTATACGTCCATTAAAATCGAAAGTGATTTGAATTGTCCTACTAATATTTAGAGAACGATGGTCTTTGCTACCCTTGTGAACAATAAAATCGTACCTTAATGAAATTGTGGTGATAGGTTTTTTCAGTAACATGTTATTTTTCACTGTGGTATCTGGATGACAAATTATGGCTAATGATTGTATCTTACAGATGAAGTTCCGAGAGTTTATTCCCAGCATTTTAAACGTATCGAGACAGTGCCTTGCCTCTGGTGAAGAGGATGTTGCTGTGCTTGCTTTCGAGATATTTGATGAGTTAATCGAGTCTCCTGCTCCTCTTCTTGGAGATTCTGTTAAATCCATAGTTCAATTTTCTCTTGAAGTTTGTGCAAGTCCTAATCTTGAATCTAGTACCCGCCATCAGGTTAGCAGCACCAGTTATAATACTTTCTGCCAATTTCATCATTCTACTCTTTGAGGCTAATACTTATCTTAAAAATAATGTATAAAGTGTTTATGCCTGATTTGTGGCCTGACTTTTGTACGATCCTTATTTGTTAGGCTATACAAATAATTTCCTGGCTTGCAAGATATAAATCGAACTCACTCAAAAAGTACAAGTTGGTTGGACCAATACTGCAAATTATGTGCCCATTACTTGCTGAATCAACTGACCGGGATGAAGATGATGATCTTGCACCTGATCGTGCCGCTGCAGAAGTTATTGATACAATGGCCATAAATCTGGCAAAACACGTTTTTCCTCCCGTTTTTGAGTTTTCTTCTATAAGCAGTCAGAATGCGAATCCGAAATTCAGGGAAGCTGCAGTTACAGCTTTAGGTGTTATTTCAGAGGGTTGTTTGGAGTTGATGAAAGGCAAACTGGAACCCGTCCTTCGTATTGTCTTGGGGGCTCTTAGAGATCCTGAACAAATGGTACGTGGCGCGGCATCGTTTGCACTTGGCCAATTTGCCGAGCATCTTCAGCCTGAGATAGTATCTCACCACAACATTGTTCTTCCATGTATGTTGAATGCCGTAGAGGATGCATCCGATGAAGTTAAGGTAAAGACGTAATTACAGCCTTTAATAGGTCTATATTGTATTCTTTCTTGCTTAACCTCATAAGATCTTTTGCTCATCTTTTCGAACAACAGGAGAAGTCGTATTATGCATTGGCAGCGTTTTGTGAGGATATGGGGGAAGACATTCTTCCTTATCTAGATCCTTTGATGGGAAAATTACTCGGTGCTCTGCAAACTAGTCCCCGCCATTTGCAGGAGACATGCATGGTAATGCGCCTGTGCATTTTGCGATGTATTGTTGCCAACCGGTTAGAAGTGTCGTAATTCTTAACATTTTCCTTGCTGTTATTGTAGTCTGCAATCGGTTCTGTTGCATCTGCTGCTGAACAAGCTTTTGTTCCGTATGCTGAAAGGGTTCTTGAGTTGATGAAAATCTTCATGGTGCTTACAAACGACGAGGACCTCAGATCACGAGCAAGAGCTACTGAGTTGGCTGGAATAGTTGCAATGTCTGTTGGCAGGGCAAGAATGGAACCAATTTTGCCGGCATTCATTGAAGCTGCAATATCTGTATGACCTCAGACTTTTTTTTAGTCTCGAGAAATTTCACCTGATTGTTTTTTTTTTTTTGAATAATAATGGATTTGCTATTTCAGGGTTTCGGGTTGGAGTTCAGTGAGCTTCGGGAGTACACTCATGGATTCTTTAGTAATGTAGCGGAACTTCTAGAAGATGGGTTCACTCAGGTAGTTTTTTCTTCCATAAAATCTTGCATGTATGTGCATAGAAATACGTAAAAGCTAATTAATTAATTAATTAATTTGGTGTTTGAACAGTACCTTCCGCATATAGTTCCTTTAGCCTTTTCGTCTTGTAACCTTGATGATGGCTCTGCTGTGGATATTGATGATTCTGATGGGGATGAAAATGTCACCGAAGTTGGTGGTGTCTCGTCCGATGATGAAGCGCACGACGAGCCCAGGGTCCGTAATATTAGTGTAAGAACCGGTGTTTTGGACGAAAAAGCGGCTGCTACTCAAGCTCTTGGCTTATTTGCTTTGCACACAAAGAGTTCCTATGCACCGTATCCTCTGTGATTGATTTTATATGTAATTATATATATATATATATATTTCTGCAAGATGAAAACAATCGTTATATTGGATCCCTTGATTATAAATTAAGGTACATAGATGAGACCCTGAAGATTTTAGTTAGACACTCAACGTACTTCCATGAAGATGTTCGTCTGCAGGCGATAATATCACTGAAATGTGAGTGATAATGATCCCTTGTAGGTTCAATTAATTTTTTTTAATATATTTGATATGGCATTTTTGCTGCGATATGAATATGACGTTTTCAGTTGCAAGAGCTTCCTACTGGATTCTTTTTATTTTTTATTTATTTATTATTTATTTTAAATTTAATATGTTCATGTGATTATATTTAGCTGTCAATGATTATTATGGAATTCTTGGCCTTACCTCTGAGTTAATTTTTGTTTCGCAGATATATTGACAGCTGTACAAGCAGTTTTCCAGAATCATAATGTGAGTGCAGAATAACAACCATGATTTCCATTCGGTTTTTTAGAGTGCATTATTATGTATGTCAAAAATCTGAATATGATGCATGGATAAGTTTTTTTCGTGTTCTGATTCTATTAACGAGCCCCTTGAGATTTACCCTTTATACAGAAAATAGTTATGTTACTGACCGAGGAATTTTAGTTATTTTATGTTGCATCTATTTCAAGTGTTTAATCAGCTTCAACTTGTAGAGCGTCTCAATTCTAATATTTGCTTTGAATTATGTTCACAGGAAGGAATTGCTAAGATAAAAGAAGTTTTTGGTGAGAATAATTTATTTTAAAAATAAATATTTATTTATTTTCCATGCTAAAAGTACTAGTGAGGAAACTTATTCACGGTTTCTTCATCGCCAGATACTGTGATGGAAATTTATTTGAAGACAATGTCTGAAGATGATGACAAAGAAGTAGTTGCTCAAGCCTGCATGAGCGTTGCTGACATCATGAACGATTTTGGTTACATGGCTGTTGAGCCTTGTAAGTTGTGAAGCTAGCTCTTATATATATATATATATATATATATATTGTATGTCTATTCTCGTTTGTAGTAAACTATATTCGGGATTTACTTTTCTCTACATTCAACTTCAGACGTACCTCGCCTAGTCGAAGCAACTTTAGTATTGCTCCGTGGAGAATCAACTTGTCAGCTGATAGAGTCGGACAGCGAGGCCGATGAGGACGACACTGAGCATGACGAAGTTCTCATGGATGCAGTTTCCGACCTCCTTCCAGCGTTTGCAAAGTCGATGGGTGCCCAATTTGCTCCGATTTTTGCGCAGCTTTTCGAGCCTTTGATGAAATTCGCGGTTAGTGAGCTTCTTCTTCTTAGTTTATGCTGTGCAAAAAGTCAGTTAACCCTTAAATTTTGTTTATTTCTAAATTGATTTCTGTAAATGGCAATAATTACAGAAACAGTCGCGTCCGCCGCAAGATAGGACAATGGTTGTTGCAACCCTTGCAGAAGTTGCTCAGCACATGGGTGCTCCAATTGCTGGCTATGTCGATGTAATTTATCATGATTAAATTATGCCTTTTTCTTTATTAATTGATTTTCAACATCGAATTGATTTACTGGAGACTAACTCCCTATGTTTCAGGCTGTGATGCAACTTGTACTCAAAGAATTAGGTTCTCCCGATGCAACCAATAGGAGAAATGCAGCATTCTGTGCTGGGGAGATGTGCAAAAATGGCGGCGACTCCGTTTTGAAGTATCCTTTTTTTGTAGCCAAGCACTCATTTAAATCTGTTACATTTGCAATACATATATATATTGATTGTTGCTTGTGCTCCTTAAATTGAAAAAAGATACTATACCGATGTATTAAGTCGGCTTCATCCATTATTTGGGGAATCTGAGCCAGATAACGCTGCGAGGGACAATGCTGCTGGTGCAGTAGCAAGGATGATAATGGCTCACCCGGATTCCATTCCATTGGCCCAGGTTGACTTTCTCGTTCTTTTTTCTCCGAATTCTCTTTATATATTATGCCTTAAGTCATATTTTTACTCGTTTTTTTTGTCAGGTCCTACCTGTTCTCCTGCAAGTCCTTCCTTTGAAAGAGGATTATGAAGAATCTACCCCCGTCTATGGCTGCATCTGCAATCTAGTTTTATCATCGAACTCTCAGGTGCTCACAATAATTTATTATTAATTATATGTTTCTTTTTTTTGGGTCTGAATTTCATCCTAATGATGATGTACTATGTTTGATCTGCAGATACTGGCTTTTGTTCCGCAGCTGGTGAATATATTTGCCCAAGTTGCAGTATCGCCCGTCGAAACTCCTGAAGTGAAGGTGCATATAGGCAGGGCATTCGCCCACCTGATGTCACTTTACGGCCATCAAATGCAGCCGCTTTTGGGCAATCTTTCGCCTGCGCATGCTAATGCTCTAGCGGCAATTGCACCTAAGAGCTGAGACGCATGCAAACCCTCCCCTGTGCAGTTCTCGGTTTATTTATTGCTCCTTCCTCACCAGTGAGCTTCTTCAAGTGTGCTTTGTCCCATTAAATGGGACGATTGCGAGGATTAGATTTCAAAGCAAGGTATGAAATTTTATCAATTGATTATAATTAAGTATATTGCATGACAAATTGATAAATGCGCATGAGTTTATGTGCTCCTTAAGGTATCCATTATATTATTAAAACAGAGTATACGAACAAATTTACATAGTCAAAACTTTAATGTCCCAAAAACTAGGAATTCCGTTTTGTATACCGTCTTTTTCCATTTCTGCTTTTTTGTTGCTGGTTCATTTGTTTAGTTCTTTGGAATTAATTAAATTGGATAGAATTATATTGTCCATGATATTGTAATGTGTAATTATATTGTTTATATGTTTTGAGATTTGTGATTGTACAATCCTTGTATTCGGTAACATCCCTCGTAGGGCTGTGTAATAATAAGGGTTGAAGTTGGACTCAATATTATTTCAGCCCCGTTTTTAATCATGCGATTCTAACCTAAACCCCAAACAGCTCATACATTTTAATTATATTGTCTATCAACTCAGGCCTAAATGACATCAATTCATGTAATATATAATTACTAATTGTTTGAATATAATTGCCCGTTAGAATATTGATACTACTTTGATGGTTGCATTAATTGCTAATTGTTTATCTTGTAATATATAATTTCTGAAAGCTGATAAAGTCCTTTGCTTTTACGAGATCTTGCAGATATCTTTTTGGTTCCTTTGTGCTGCCGTCTCCAGTTTTCCAGTTAGGGGATGTGGCATTCCCCTAATTTTTTGTGTACTCGAATTTTTTGTGTGTACCCGAATTTTTTGTCTTGCCATTCTTTGAGTCTGTTTGCTAAGTGTTTGTTTCATTAATTATCTCACAAGTGAGCCAAAATAGCTTGGAATCACGTATAGAGTGCCATTTATAGCAAATTTGTTACAGGTCCAATCAGGTGTGCATAATGTCTTTTCTTCTTGAAAGTCTTTGAAATAGCCATTTATATCATATTTGATTATTTGTTCTAATTCTTCTAATTCTTTCATGCACATCAATTTTATCATAAGTCGGAATGAGATACCTTTAATTCATGTTTAAAATGTGTATCAGTGAAATTTTAGTGTTATCTTGTAACTAGATAATGTTTTAGAAGTTTCGGATTGATCAAAGTTGTGTGAGCACTTTTGAATCTTTAGACCAAGTCACTTGGACGGGATTGGATGGATTAAGTTCGTGTTTGGTTTATGGTTTTAAGTTCGTATTTAAGTTCGTGTTTGGTTTATGGTTTTAAGTTCGTGTTTGGTTTACAGGTTGACAATGTGGCTAATGAGATTGTGAGATCAATTTATGGAATCACCTCTATGTAATGTTGTATCATATTAAAACTTTTGCAAAATATATTAAATAAAAATCATCTTGTACAAAGAAATCATCTGAACATTAACTTTTGCAAAATATATTAAATAAAAATCATCTTGTACAAAGAAATCATCTGAATCATACGGAAACGCGGAATCAAAGGCTATTGCTATTACGAATCATATTGCTATTACGAATCATGGAGCAAAACTGGATCTTGAAAATGAATCAAATATTGCTATTACGAATCATGGAGCAATATTACGAATATTGCTATTACGAATCATGGAGCAAAACTGGATCTTGAAAATGAATCAAATATTGCTATTACGAATCATGGAGCAATATTACGAATCATGGAGCAAAACTGGATCTTGAAAATGAATCAAATATTGCTATTATGAATCATGGAGCAAAACTGGATAACATGTATGCCGAGAAATGAGAAACTGATAAACTGGATCTTGAAAATGAAAAACATGTATGCCGAGAAATGAGAAACTGATCATTTTGTACAAAGAAACATCTTCTGAACATTAGAAATATAGTATGGTGATTCATTGTGTACAAAGAAATCACAAAGAAAGAACATTAGAATCAGAAACTGATCATTTTGTACAAAGAAACATCTTCTGAACATTAGAAATATAGTATGGTGATTCATTGTGTACAAAGAAATCACAAAGAAAGAACATTAGAAATATATTATGGTGATTCATTGTGTACAAAGAAATCACAAAGAAATCATCTTCTGAACATTAGAAATATGTTATGGTGATTCATTGTGTACAAAGAAATCATCTGAACATTGAAAGATTGAATTTTGAAAGATTGAATTTAGAAATATATCATGGTGATGTTATGATTTTAATTGCAATCGAATAAGGACTTTGACTTCAGGGCTAATTTTAATATATACCATAAAGAGGAGTATATAACTAGGGAATAAGAGAAATTGTTTCTTAGAATTGATGCAGCTATTTTGGCAAAATGGAACTTTTATTCCTTATGTTTCTTAACATTTTGGCTTGTTACAAAATAATAGTAAACACCCCTCTTTATAAGCAACCTTGCTAACAAATGGTTAATATTATGCTAACATATTTATCTAAGGGCTATAATTTATCCATAAAACGTAGCCATAGAAGTATCTACATAATTTACTCTAAAATGTTCCGAGATATTTTTTGAAGAGAAATCTCGACTAAGTTTCTAGAAGTTGGGGCAACTGAACTTTTTTAGGCATGTGTGTCAGGCAAGCTTTATAGTTTGATAAAGCCTTCATGTTTGAGTGGCTTGGTGAAGACTGAAGATCTCAACATATTCCATTTTATTTGTATGTATGTGAAAAATTCCATATTCAATTGAAATAGGATACAAATTGCAAAATATGTAAACTTGTTGCATGTATATTTAAAATAGGACTAAATCCTAATTTTTTTTCCCTAATAACAATTCATTCATGGAAACAATTTCTTAATAAAAGATTATATAAAAATGAAATAATAAGAAATGAATTCCATTCCTAGATAGAGAGCAATAGATCGTACGTCATCGATCATCTCAGCCAAGAAATCACCTTGTCAGTATTCAGTTCTTCAATGTTGAAGTCAGCTCCAGATGTAGTATTGTTTATCTGTTCCAAATTAAATTTAGGGTTAATGGCATTTTGCCCTCGAACTTTGACGTGTTTTGCACATTACTTCAGACTAAAAAAATTGCACGTTGCCCCCGAGACTCTATTATTTGGAGCACCGTTCACGAAATTGGCTATTTTTGGCTAAATTCTAGCCGGAATGGTGCACGTGCCATGAACTTCGATAAGTAGAAAATTAATAAAATAATTAGATTGATCAATTAATATTACCTGGATGTGCAAATTGTAGCAGATTAATCTACTTTCGTAGACGTAAAGCGTGGAAGCATTTTTGACACAAATGCCCTCATCTTCTAAACGTTGCAGCAAATTCGTGAACAATGATGTCAAATATCCATTTTGATCATATTCTTCTCCTTCCGATCTTGCAATGCTAATCTGAACCGTTGCTTCTTCTTGATTAATTTTGTTGAGTAGAACCGCTGGAATTAATTGGCATTTCGAAGTGGGAATTATATTTTTGTTTTTCGCCGCTGAAATAATAATATTCGCGCTTTCCTTCTTCGACCTCAATGCTTCTATCTCACTTTTCAGCTCCGGAATATACTCGAGAACTTTATCAACTATAGCTGGTGCAGCCCATCTTTTCTGCAAGATTATACACTTGTAATTGGAGTGAGTAGCAAATTAAAAACCCTCATGTGATATATTAAATAAATGCTATAATTAAGAAGAAAAAAAAACTACGATACATTCGAATGTAACACAATTTTTTCGATATAATTACACTACAATGACGGCATTTAATTAGTTAAAGACTCGTTATCGAAAGGCATTTGTGTTCGTTCAACCGATTATATATATAATCATAGAAAGATTCACAAATTAAACACCGCGAGTGAAGCTGAAAAAGGACTATATACATACATATACTTGCAGGCCTTTTAAAATTTCAATCACGTAAGGGCTTTTGCCGTAAAAAATAACATAATTCGAATACGTAATCGATCAATTAGGCGCTCATCATGCATTATATTAATTAATAAAACTTGAAATCTTATAAACATGTACATTCTTTAATTTAATTAACAATATATATAGGAAATATACATACCAATAATATTGTTGATCATGGGCACCAAGTGAAAAAAAATCAACGATTATCAAGAGAAAATAATAATTACAAAGTTCTAAATATTAAAAAAAAATATTAAAATGACTAATAAGTAAGTAACTAGTATAATGGTACAATTAATTTTAATTACCTTTGACGATCTTCTGGAACGAGGCATCAATTCACGTAGGGCGAGATAAGATGCATTAAGCTTCATTCTTCGAATTCGCTCCTTTGCATTATGTTCCATCTTCTTCTTTGCATCTTCTTGATCAATTCGATTTTGTTCAATAATTTCATTACTAGTTATTTTTCCGCAATTAATTATTCGTCTCTTTCTTATTTTCTTTATTGAGTTCGGAGTATTATTATTCAACTCTTGATGACTAATCTCTCGATTAATGGTAATATCATGATTTTGCATATTTTCCACACAGGGATATATTAACTAATTTCGATCGAAATCGAAATCGAAAAAATAGAAAGTAAAATGATAAAATAAAAATAAATTTTATATATAATTAACCTTTTTTCCACACTTGGCTGTGCAGTAGTAGTAATCCCTTGTACTAATTGTACTGGTTGAGCTATATGAACATGGCATGCACAAATGAACCGGGATTCTCGGAGGAAATTAAACCCTAGTTTTAAAAAATTAAATAAAAATTAATGGTCCCCGGCCAGAACTTGATACTGACTCGAAACCCTAATCTTGAAAAGAAAATGAGTTTCAAGAATTAACTTTTTTCGTAATAAATATATATGTATATATGTATAAATGTTTTTAAAAAATCATATATAAATTTAAATTCTTGATCAAATTAAGAAATTAAAAATAAAGCACATGAAATTAATTTCGATGCTGGAAAAAATGAAATGGGGCAAAGATTACTTGAATCTAGAGAGATGAACATTTGACAAGATCATGAAAATGAGAGAGAGAGAGAGAATCTAAAATTAATATTGCCCTTGTCATCTCCACTCAAATGTCAAAAAAGTCAATTAGTAAACTTTATACTTGTTCAAAATTTGTGGTACCCTCTTACGATTTTTCGGGTTTAAAATACTCGAGCGTTGGAGAATTTTCGCCCTTTTTTTTTTGTGACGGGAGTAGTGGCTTTCAAGGGGTACGGGGTACAATTCGAGGATTAAATCGAAACGGGCCAAGATAAAAAAAAATGTTGAGCACATCAATATACGCCGTGACTTTTTGAACAGAAATAGAGGAAACGAAGTCGTATCATCGATAAATAATAGAGGAAACGAACTCGATTTTCCCAATGTTAATTAGCAAAATATCAATAATCACCAAATTAACACCCTATTGATTGGTTAACTCTTATTTTTAAACAGGAACTGCAGTACTGATTTGTGTTATCTTACGTAGTACAAAACAAAGCAAGCAAGCAAAGCCAGTACACTATTACTGTATTGTACGTTTAAGTACAACTGTACAAGCACTTTATTTAGTTCTCAAATTATATATATTTTTACGTTCTTTTAATTAATTATTCTCCTCCTTTGCATGTTCTCCTTAATAAATTCTTATTTACTAATCTATGTCGATATTCTCTCTCTCTCTCTCTCTAAAATCTACTTCACACATGTATCCGTATGCCACATTGTATGGTTCAAATAAAATGCTAAGTAAAAAGTTCAAATGACCAGCATAGCCTTATGTTCTAAATTCTTTATTCTTTTTTTTTTTTTTTTGGTAATGCAGGAACCCGCAGCCAACCATATAGGTGCACTGGGTAAACCTACACTCTCGTATAATAGCTTGCAAACTATACGAGAGATGTAAACCACACTAGGCTAACCATGTGTGACAAGCTCGACCTAGCGACCGTTGGCAAGGGGATTCGAACTTGGGTCAATTGACCCAAGCTCCCTTGCTCCAACCGCTAGGCCACCCTTGCGGGTCTAAATTCTTTATTCTTATTTCTTTTTTCCTTATTTTAGAATCTATGAACCAAACAAAGCCTTAATTTAATCTTCAATGCATGCCAAATTTATAGAATATTCTTGAAGCATACATTTTTAATGAATCATATATATATATATATATATATATATATATATATATATATATATATATATATATATATATACTATTGTAGCACGGACAAAATGGAAGAATTGGAAGAAAAATAGAAGAATTATGGATTGTGGTTAGAAAAGACGAAAAAGCCCTTTCAAATCGCATGTGCAACACACATAGATCTAATTCCTACCATTTTCATCTGAAAATTCAAAAGGAAGGGTAACGTGAGACCACTTACTGAGGTGGGATTGAAATATTTTTGTTGAGATGGTAATCCGCAAAAACGGACAAAGTTTAGGTGGTTTATAAATGCTATTTACGCTATATATTTTTATCATCAACTATCGATTTGTAATTGATCACTAAATAATTAGGGAAGCAAAATAATTATTTGGAAATTCGCTATTCCACATGTTTCTATATTTACAGAAATTGCAAAAATAACCCATAAAGTGTCCAGCCTATGTCCTTGAGTATACGACACGAAACGCGTCCAAAACGCAGATATATATATGTTAGAAAATTAAAGTTTTCGTGCTACATAGTATATATGCTTAACATGAACTGTGAAGTAAAATATATAAGATGGGAAACAAGCATAGCTAATACAAATCATTCGTGCCCGAATTAATATATAATCATTAACATCGCTCGTAAATCTTCGATCGGCTGCTTCTTTCGTTTTTCTCTGCAGATTGATCGATCAACAAGTACTAAAGCACAAGCTGTTATAATTTTAGTTATATATATGGCCAAAGAAAGAAATTAAACAGATATACAACCTTCATTGTATTTATTTATTTTCTGTGTATATATATATATATTTCTCTACTTCATTTTTGCAATAAAAAACAATTTCTAAATGAAAATAAAATATAAAAATAATTCCTAAATAGAGAGCAAGAGGATCGATCGTAGTCGATCATCGATCATCTCAGCCAAGAAATCACCTTGTCACTCAGTTCTTCAATGTAGTCACCCCCACTTGTAGTATTGTTTATCTGATGCAAAAACATGCCATAAATTAGGTTTAGATGACATAAATATAGAAGAGTACTTTTTTGGGTAAATTACGGTCGCCCCTGAGGTAGGGGTGGTAAACGAGCCGAACCGACTTGAAAAAATCTCGAACTCGAACTCAAGTTTTTTGAGCTCGAGCTTTCTGACGAGCCGAGCTCAAGCCAGTTTTTAGTTGTTCGTTAGCTCACGAGCCGGCTCGCGAGCCTTATTTATTATTTTTATTTTTTAATTATTTTTTATTTAAATAATGTACAATAATAAAAAATATTATTGAAATAAATAAAAATAAAATAAAAATATTAAAAAATATATATAATTACAATTTATTGTTTATTTTGTATTTTTTAAATAATTTTAATAATAATAATAAAATAATAATCTAAAAAATATTTAAAAAAAAAAACAAAAACAAAATAAGCATGGGTTGAGCTCAACAAATGGACACTAGCTCGAGCTCAAGCCAAAAAAGAAGGAACTCGACGAACTCGAGCTCGACAAAATAGACTCAAGCTAGAGCCTGCCAAAAAAGGCGAGCTCGGCTCGTTGACACCCTTACCCAGAGGTAATGTCAATTACAAAAAAAACCCTTTTTGTTTGGATGATTACAATCGGTCTTCCTTAACTACGAATCTATTTACAAGTCTACCATTGTGTTGGCAAATTTAGTGGAGTTTTCTAAATTATGTGAAATATTCTCCGATTTGTACCCGTTTTACCGCATTTCAGCTCCACATTTTGAAACATTTGGATTGAAAATATCAGATTGTAGTGCATCTAAAACTGTCTTTTTGAACAAACGAGTACAAATTAGATAATATTACACGGAATCTAGATGATTCTGTTGAATTTAACACCACAAAATGTACGTGTAAGAAGATTCACAGTTGAAGGATATATGTAATTACCCACAGAAAAGAGATTTTTTCGTAATTTGACCTTACCTCGGCCGTAATTTACCCTATTTTTTTTATTATGTTAAAATTTACGGTTGCAATATCTTCAAATATTTTGCATGGCAATTTTGAACCTTTTCTTAATTAATTTGGAATTTATTTCTCAACTTTTGGCCAAAATGATCTCAAGGGGGAGAGTTAATTAATTTATAATTTGATTATATAAAAAAAAAAAAAAACATAACTTCGATAATCAGAAAAAAAAATGACAATTCAATATTAATTATGTTTAATTAATTACCTGGACGTGTAAATTGCAACAGATCCTCCTCTCACATACAACAAGTACAGAAGAACTCTTGATGCAAATGCCCTCATCTTCCAAACTTTGCAACAAATTCGTAAACGACGACCCTCGATTTTCTTCCGATCTTGCGATGCAAATTTGAATGATTGCTTCGTCTCGTTTAATTCTGTTGAGGAAAACCGCGGGACTTTCGTATTGTGAATTAGTGGGAATATTATTAGCAATAATAATCTTCTTGGCTTTAGCTGCTAATTTCGCCGTTTCTTTCTTGGATTTCAACGCTTTCACCTCGCTTTGCAGCTCCGGAATATAATTAAGTACTCTATCGATTATAGAAGGTGCACTCCATCTCTTCTGCAAAATGTAATAATAAACGGTATTCGTAATTTTAGTACCATGTAAATCATTTCAGATATATATTAGTTTCCAATTTAACAATGTGTAGCTCAACATAACTATATAAAGATGCATGCAGTATAAATTTGGTTAAATTGACGACACTCGTAATTTTTTTGTTCTTTTTGAGCACCACTCGGGCAAATCGAGCAATGCATTCGTAGTATCAATATTCACACACACACACACACACACACACATGCACACACACACACACACACATATATATATATATATATATATATATATATATATATATATATAAGATAATAAGAGTATAATGCATGGTGTTCGATTACCTTTGATCTTCTTGAATCGGGCATCAACGATCGGAGGGCAAGGTAAGAAGCATTAACCTTCATTCTTCGGATTCTCTCCTTTGCATTATGATGAAGCTTTTTCGCAATCGAGGTTTCTTGATCATCTGCACTATCTTCCACCGTCGTTGCATTTTGATTGTCGTTATTATCACTAATTTTTCTCTTTCTGATCTTTCTCGTCGTCTTTGAGTTCGAATTAATATTAATATCATTACTAATAATTTTCGACCCCTTTTCGGATAATTGCGGTGCCACTGAATGTTGCCCCTCGACATTATTAATGATCGTCTGAGATTGTAGTATTTCTTGATAAAGTGACCATGAACCATCACCACCCAAATTAGGAATTTCATCAAGAGGGTTCAAGAATTCCTCAATATTATTATTATTGTATGGATCACTAATTAAGGGCCAATGTGACATGTTTAATTTTTTTTTAATTAGAGATAATTAATGAGTGATTAATTTCTCAATAATTAACAAGGGAACAGTGTATAGTACAACTTCCTAAGAAGTACGTACCGACTTATAGCTGATAGTACTCTAGTAGTTGTACTTCCCTTGTGCTCGAGCTTTCGACACGGCATGCATCGAGATCGAAGAAAAACCCGGGGGCGATGGATTACGACTTTTGGTACAAGATCGAGGAATCTTTGGTTGTTAGGTGGGCCCCACCAAAACAAGATTGCTTTCTTCCCCAATTTTTTGAAACCCTAGTTTGTTCTAAACCCTAGCAGATCAAGTTCAAAAAAAAAAAAGGATGAATTCGAAGCGTATATATTTCTAAATCGATCGGCCTTACAACATATGCACCTTAAAGCGATACGCGATTTATATACAATATAACTCACCTTTACGAAATCCGATCGAATTAGCGAAAATCAAAGCTGTATCCGAATACAAGCGTCTCCCGAATGTGTTGTGACTGTAACAAATGCACACAGTATGATGTAATTTTGCACACAGTGACTATATATATGTGTGTGTGTATGTATATATAAGCATATGATGATGATGAAGAAATGGAGGAATAAAGCATATATTGATGATGAAGATGACTCTGGATATATATTCTAGAGAGAAGGAAAATATCAAAGATTAAATTCTAGAGAGAGTTTTTTGGAGGTCAAATTATTAAATTTTTAGAACCGTCATTGTCATCTTCACTTATATATATACTAATTATTAAATAAATTTTTACTCAAAAATAGAAAAAAAATAAAAAAATAATAAATAAAATAAATATATACTGCTAATTATAATATTTAAATTATTGATAATTAATTGTATGTGTTTTTTTAGTACGTAAAAGTAAATACAAAAGTCAATAAATAAAGTGGATAAGCCTAATTTTAAATATGTGGGAGGGTGGCGTAGCTAGGTGAGCTCTTCATGACATGAATAAAGAATATATATTGTGTACGAAACAATTTTATTTAATTTTATTTTTATTTTTATTTATTTATTTATCTGCTGAGATTTTCCCGAGGTTAATTAATTAATTAGCAAAAACTAATCACAAATGGCCCAAAATGAATGTATCTAAATTCTAATTATTAACTTGTTTAATATTTTCTCATTTTTTTATTGGTGGCCTCTCATATAGTACAACTAGTACATTGCTGCATATGTTGAAGTACAATATACACACAATATATGTTGAGTTTGCGCATAGGCGCAACTGCTTGTGG